GGCGAGTGGTGGGTGGTAGCGAGTGGGTGGTGGTGGTAGTGGTGGCAGGTAGATGGCGGGTGGTGGTGGCGGATAGGTAGCGGGTGGTGGTGGTGGGTGGGTGACGGTGGCGGGTGGTGGGTGGTAGCGAGTGAGTGGTAGTGGTGGGTGGTGGCGGCAGATGGGTGGCGGATGACGGGTGGTAGTGGGTGGGTATGTGACGGTGGCGTGTGGTAGGTGGTAGTGAGTGGGTGGCGGTGGCAGGTGGGTGGTTGGTGGCTGGTGGTGGCAGGTGGTGGATGGTGGTGGCAAGTGGGTGGTGAGTGGTGGTGGCAAGTAGGTGGCGGGTGGTAGTGGCGGGTGGTGGATGGCAAGTGGGTGGTGGGTGGTGGTGGTGGCGACGAGGGGTGGGTGGTGGTGGCGAGTGGGTGGCAGGTGGGTGGTGGGTGGTGGTGGCTGGTGGGTGGTGAGTGGTGATGGGAGGTGGTGGTGTTGGGTGGCTGGTGGTGGGTGGTAGTGGCGGAAGACAGTGGTGGAAAATGATGGTGGGCGGTGGCTAATGTTGGGTGGTTAAAAAAAAAAAAACTGAAAACTCAAAATGGAAACACATTTTTTGTGTTTTTATTTTTTAGCCAAATTTATAAACTGAGACCACTAATTTATAACTTAAAAATTTTACCAAATAAGTTTTTATTTAAATTTTTTAAATTTTTATAAATATAAATAGAAAACTGAAAACGTAAATGTTACCGAACAACGGCTTAAGATTTCATTGAAGACAAAGTCGAAAGAAAAGCAAAGTTAAGTTAAGTTACACTAATGGGCACAAGGGCCACACTCCTGAGCATCGTTTGGTACGAAAAAAAAAAAGTACTGAAAAGTAAAGACATAAAATTAAAAAATAAAAAATCAACTGTATCGGCCACATCACCATCAGCTTCGGTGTTGTCAGCAATCTCCTTATCAATTTCTGCATCTGAGCTTAAGAGGAACTTGAAAAATAAATCAAAAGTTGTGTATACTTTTTATTTACTAGATTATGTCAACAAATAAAATGTCTTAAAATAGTGGTCTAATTAATTATATACTGAGATCTAATTAGTAGTTCAAAACTTTCGAAAATAGTGAAAACAATGACTTGTTAGATTTATTTATTTTTCTTTGCTTAAATTGATTTTTTCGTAACCCTCACTTGAGAAATTATCTTCTGTTAGTGATGTACCAAAACCAACTTAATTTTTTTTATGCATACACCTTGGGCCCTTAGACATAATTTCTGGTTCTACCCCTGTCAAGAATAACCATCGTATGAACTTCATAATTTACACCACCACAAATATGAAACGCCATAATTTACACCCACCCCACTAAAGCACAAATGGTAGTCCGACACATACAGTGAACAAGCATGTGTGGATGCAAGAGAGAGAGAGAGAGAGACCTAGCAGCTAGTCGGACACATACAGTGGAAACATCAGGTCTTATATGCCTCATGGTGTCAAATATGGCCATACCTAATGGGATTAAAAATAATCAAATCAAGAAAATCCACAGGCAGTATGTGTTAGAAAAATCAAATCGTAATTATGTCTTTGTGTGTGAGCAAGTATGTGTGCATGAGAGAGAGAGAGAGATTAAATGAGAACTAAGAAACATGTGGATGTTAGTGTATATTAGTGCTTGTAACGATGTTAGTAGGTTAGTACTTGTCTTTATTAAAGATTACTTTAAGTTAGTGTTCGGCTACTTTCGGCCACTTTCGACCACTTTCCTATTCAGGTTTGTAATCCTCTCCTATATAAGGAGCTTCTAACATTGTTAAAGAAATAATACTTGACATCAATCATAATACATATAATTTATTTTCTCTGTAATTCTCTCTCTATCAATTTATCTTACATGGTATCAGAGCAAGGTTAAAAACCTAGTCATTCTGCTTCACCGGCGGGCGGCAGCCTCGCCTTGGCCGCCCGCCAGACCTCTTCCTCTCCTCACTATTGAAGAACTCTGCTATTAGCCCTCTTCTTTCTTTCTTCGTCACCTCGTCCGGGCCTTCACACCGCCGCTGCTGTTACTGATCATCACCGACACCAACTCATTTCCAACACCGCTGCCGCTGCTGGCTTGCGCCACCAGCTCCCGCTATCACTAGCCCAGCTCGTCACTGAAGACCATCGATGTTAGTACGCCGGCCGTCGTCGCAACTTCCAGGCACCATCACCGCCCCTGTTCCAGCGTTGCGACCCAAGCTGCATGCTCACCATGATATATGTATAAAGGGGTTGGGGGCTCGGAGCATCATTAGCACTTCTTGAATTTTCTGTGAGTTTGCTATTCAAGATTGAGCTTCCCCATACACACACAATGAGAGCTACACCCAGACAAGCATCTTGACTCTCTCTCTGGGTCTCGGTTGGGAGAGGAAGACATCAAAAATGCCCAATTTCTCTCTCTACATCTCACTCTCACTCCTCTCCAGCCATGATTGCCTGAGAAAACCTTGCATTCAAACTCGGCTCTCGCTCTCTCTCGGCAGTTTGATTAAAAAAAAAAAAAAAAAAATTTGATTCAGATTAAAAAATTTAAATAGACTCTCTAGACTTGCTCTCTTGACCTATAGATCTGCCACTGCTGTCTTTGATAAACCTACCATCGCCGTCGTCGCCACAGACGGCGGCGATGACTTGACCAACCTGCACTCTCTCTACCTCTATCTCTCTTTATCTATCTGATTTTGGCCCCTTTCCTCTCTCGGTCTCCGATCACACACAGTAGACACACGAGGCACTCTCTCTCTCTCTGGTTATCTATCTCTAACACACACTCACTCCATGCAAATCATATACATACCCAACAAACACATATTTTCTTTGGGAGAGACGTGCATAGCCAGGAAGTAAAAAAAAAATGTTCAAAGCTGCTACGATCTCTCTCTTTCTCTGGTAGATGGTAGAGACCTGGGCTCTTCTCTCCTCACCCTCTCGGAGAACACACAGGTATACACACACATGCATGGCATCTCTTCTCTCTCTCGCTCTCTCTGGAACGGAAGTAGAGCAAAAGCCTGGGTTAGGAGAGCAAATTAGCAGAATACATTTTTACTCAAAGCTGGTGATCGGGTAAAAAAATAAATAAATAAATAAAAAGAGAGAAAACAATTCATCTCTCTCTCTCTACTCAAGGACACCCACAACTTTGTCAACTTTCCAACCTATCTTCCTTCACCTTTTGCACACTCATACCCCTTTTTTATTTTTAAACCAATTTCCACCAGCACAAAACATGCTCATATGCATACCCAGCTCTCTCTCCACTTTATCACATGGACTTGTCCCCTCTCTCTCCTCTTATCACGTTTGATTTTAAAATCAATTTTGTTTTCTTTGTTTTCTCCCCCACTACTTTTACACTCATTTAAATATCCACTTTTATTTTTCTTTCCCATCATTTCTTTTAAACTTTTCTTTCCACCACTCTCTTTTAATATTTCTCTTTAGCAACTGCATTACACCACAACCGACACAAAAAAAAAAAAAAACCCTTTCTATCATTTTTTTTTTTTTTCACATCTTCACTCTGTGTTGAGCTGTTTTACTCCACTTTCTTAATCCCTTTGTTTCAACCTCAAATAGGTTTCTATCTTCACACTTATTTGAGTTTGAGGGGGGTTATACATATATTATGGTGAGCATGGTTACACACCATGCGAACCACCCAAGTTAATGAGTATGGTTATATACCATGGGAACCACCCAAGCCACCCCATGGCGCACTCCCTAAGTCGCCCCCTTGGTGCACCACCACAATCTTTTACATCGGTCTGGCATGACCCCGTAAACTGTCCCGACATTGATTCCGGTTAGCTTCTACATCGGTCCAGCATGACCCCATAAACTGTCCCGACATTGATTCCGGTCAGCTTTTACAACGGTCCGACATGACCCCATAAACTGTCTCGACATTGATTCCGATTAGCTTCTACATCGGTCCGACATGACCTCGTAAACTGTCCAGACCTTATCTTCTCCAACGGTCTGACACGACCACACAGTGTCTTCAACAACGATCTGTCACGACCATACAATGTCTCCTATCCTATTTTATTTTTAGTTTGTTTTCTTGTTTTGTTACTCTCTCCAAACTCAAGTTGGTTAATTTTTATCCTCCTTGAGTTTGAGGGGGGCTGTTAGTGTATATTAGTGCTTGTAATGATGTTAGTAGGTTAGTACTTGTCTTTATTAAACATTACTTTAAGTTAGTGTTCGGCTACTTTCGGCCACTTTCGACCACTTTCCTATTCAGGTTTGTAATCCTCTCCTATATAAGGAGCTTCTAACATTGTTAAAGAAATAACACTTGACATCAATCATAATACATATAATTTATTTTCTCTGTAATTCTCTCTCTATCAATTTATCTTCCAGATATTATGTAAGAAACTCAAAGCTAAACAAAGGTAGTTTATATATGCATGCGTGAGATTGTAACAAATTGAAAACATTAGACCATGAAAGGGCATTTAAGTTTAAAACCTTTCTACGGAATGCATGAATCATGGCATCAGACACAGCAGAAAGGATTTCTTTATTGCTTCAGTATGCCTTTTGTATGGTTTAATGCTTAGTTGCAAGTAGTCCCTGTAATTAAAATTTAAGTTCTACCACAGGGAGTGCAAGCTAGTCCAGGTGTGGTGCACTTCGAGGTCTCCTAAAAATTGACTAGGTCTATTATGCTTTATAAAGCATTTGAAGGCACAACATTATCATCCAAAAAAGGGACCTCTGAGCAATAACCAAAGTTGGCAATTTGTATTAAAGTATTTGATGACATGAGAAGACTGCGATATACAATATGATACGACGCAATTGAACTTCCCTGAGACTCCCAGATGAGAACATAGTGAACTGACTAGCATCTTGATTTACAAACTGAGTTTGAAAGATACATTCACATTGAAATTAAATTCTTGTGACCTAGTTCCTTGCTACTTTAATTGATTCAATAATTATCAGACATCGTCCTTTCACATCCAAACCTCTCTTTTTATTCTGAACACAATATAAGTTACTATGTTATAAGTTTAAATCTAACTCACCACAATAAGGTTCAACCCCTTGACATCTAGCCGAGAATGCTAATGTTTCTCTAACAGTCAATTCTCCTAAATGAAGATCATACTAACTGATATAAGCCGATGTTCTCTGTGGAACAAACTCATCCATTCCATGGCCATTGTAAGTTACTTTTCTTGAAACCTAGTAGTTATATAAGATTTATGTAAGATCAAAAGATGAAACAAATTCCTCAGAACTTGGTTGAAAAATAGTAGTGTTTTTTCTTTTACTTTTAGATCTGAATTGAGCTTTCCAGCCAAACCGAGCAGCAATGTGGTTTTCCCAGAACTTGGAGGACCTAAAAGCAATGTCATTCTGCCAAAAAAAAAAAAAAAACAAAGAAATGATAATTGGGAAATTAGGAGAGTTGACAATTTTAATTTTTGTAATTTTCAAATTACTAAATAATACTGCTAACTATCAAACACAAAATTTAAAAATGAATTTTCTTAAAACTTGGAATGTTCAACAACATACTTGAACCAGTAAGGGCATTTCCAATACTTTTTCTCAAATCGTGATTCAAATTTAAATTTGAATAAAAAGCACTCGATGTCGATCTCTTTTCACTCTTGGACTAAAACTGGTATCAAATTGAGTTTTACTCAATTGAAAGGGACCATTTTACAAACTCAAAATTGCCTACGGCTACATTTAGTGATATGAAAATCCTTACCCAAATGAAAGGAGAACTAAAGTTTTTTTTCTTCTCGCTGTTTTGGTTTTTCATGTTTCAAGTTAAAATTAGATAAAAAATGTCATATGACATGAAATATTTTATTATTTTAACCTCTCTTACTCAAAACTTAAATCGAAATATATTAATATATTTTTTAATGTCACATGGCAACCAACTTGATATTTTCTATCTAATTTTGGACAGAAGTTAGCTTTATGAGTAATTTAAGAAAAACTTGAAACATGAAGGACCAAAAAAGAAGAAAAAAAACCTTACGGGTCAAACTAAAAAAATATTTAAACATAAGGGGTAAAGTGTAATTTACCCTTTTATAATCTATTGCTAAAACTCAAACAAATTGCCTTTCTCACCTTCCAGGGTTGATGATTCCATTGACGTCATGAAGGATTGGTAATGGTTTCTTTCTACTTGGAAGAATATGGAGGCAATTTAAGAACCCCTGAAGAGAGAGAGAGAGAGAGATTGCAGGGTCAGTTGAATTTGGAGATGAAATATGGAAGCAAAATTGAAGTTGATGCATGTGAAATTGTTCAATGTAGACATGTACTATATTATGAAATTAAAAAAAAAGAAAAGAAAATTTGTACCTCAAGCATATTGACAGAGAAGTTAAATATGGTAGGCAATGCTCTACTGCCAACATAAGCTTCTGCATCAACTGTTAAATGCTCAAACCTGACTTCAATTGTTGGAAGTTCTAGCCCAACTCTGCATCATCATTTTGAAAAACAAAAACAAAACATATTTAGAAACATACTTCAACCAAAAAAAGACAGTAAAGAACAGAAATTTCAAATACCAAGTTCAGCATCCTCTGTTGGAGGGCTTGCAGCAACAATGGCATGCTGTCCTCATTTATACCATACTCCAGCACTGTCCAAATGCGAACTCCGCACTGTCTTTATGGAATATGATGGTAAGGACGGAAAACTTATACAAGTTTTCTTCATTTTGGATGCCTCCATATTGTTTCCCATGTTGAAAACAACATTGTAGCCCACCTTGGACAGAAGCGCCATGATGTGCCCCTGTAATGAGGTTTGTGCAACCTGTTAGCTACAACTCATTTAACCAAAACTAGTCAAAATCAGTTCACCACAACTCATTTAACCAAAACACAGGGATCTATATATATATATACACAAATTGAAACAAATTAAATCTGCCAACTGGTTTTCCCGCTTGCAAACCACCTTTCGTAGCAGCATCCATGAGACCTGGACCAGCCCGTCCATGAAGTACAGTTTAAGAGAATTGCAATCTGCAGAAAATAATAAGTAGGCTCATACAATCCATATAAATTTTGGGCTGAAAAAATTGAATTCTATGATGTATCTTGTGTTGTTCACTTGCAGTTCCATACTCCATATACATCTACATGAATAAGTACATACATGGAAGGTTAAATATGGAGTGACTTGCCTCTTTCCCCAATTCCAGTGCTCGAAGAACCCAAATACACGACTCCCCTTCGCAGCCTGTGAATGAGTTCATATTAGTGAACGAGTTTTTGACAGATTTCATTAAATTGTAGAGTATGTTCCATGTTTACAAAAAAAAAAAAAATGGTTAATATAGCCAGATGAAGTAGCACCACGATGCCATGTATAAGCAAATTCAAGCAATCATTTTTTAGGGATTCAAGAAGTTATGATAATATGAAAGTGCTTCTGTACTAAAGATTGATGTAGAAAAACAATTGAACTGCTATATATGCTTGAGATGATAAGTCCTAATATGGCAATAAGAATGTAGATAACATATGACTCTCTTATTCATCCACTCGTCCGTCAAGTCTGTCTCATACCACACACACAGCCACGCAGAGAGAGACAGAGTGCACAAAGCTTCACACACACTTATTTTTGAATTAATGGTTTATGTTAATTTTGAAAACTTACAATTTTTCTGCTCTCTGTTTTCAATTTTGTATATTAAAATAAGCCTAATCATTTTCAGCCTCTTCTCTTTGCATTTTGACTACCAACTATAACTAGATTAGTGGATCATCGAACATTAGCAAATACATGATAAACCAAGTCAACTAGCAGCATCAGGAACAGGAAAATATTAACTGTTTACCTTAAAATAAGTTGTTATTTTGCTATTCAAATAGCAAACTTCCTCAAATTCGCTATTAAAAATAGTAAAACAAATCCATTGGCATAAACTATTTGAAGGTAAACTCATAACATTCAAGGATAGATTGTCAGTAATTTATTACACTTTTTCAATAAATATAGCATGAATTGATAACACACAGAACATAGCAGCAAACCTCATCAATGATGTCATTCATATATGCAAAAGCTTGAGTAATCAAATTCCCTCAAAAATCAACAACAATCAAAAAGAAAACTATACCCAAAAAAAATTCCCAGCGAGTCTTCAAATCTCAAACAAATAAAAACTCTCAAATCTGAAACATGTAGTTTAGAATGAAAATCTCATATCTAAAAGGATATGGTTTCGAATGAAAATTTTTAATGAGGAAAGACTATATATTTTCGAATGAGAAATCTTAAATCTGAAACATGTGTTTTTGAATAAGAAATTTTAAATCTCAAACTTATTTTTGAATGAGAAATCTCAGATCTAAAACATATGTTTTTGAATAAGAAATCTCAAACATATTTTTTGAATGAGAAATCTCAGATCTGAAACATATACTTTTGAATGAGAAATCTCAGATCTGAAATCTTAAACATATGTAAACCCCAAGAGAAGAATCGACGGAATGAAGAGCTTGAGAGAGAGAGAGAATACGAGTAGTGGCGGAAGACAGTGGTGGAAAATGATGGTGGGCGGTGGCTAATGTTGGGTGGTTAAAAAAAAAAAACTGAAAACTCAAAATGGAAACACATTTTTTGTGTTTTTATTTTTTAGCCAAATTTATAAACTGAGACCACTGATTTATAACTCAAAAATTTTACCAAACAAGTTTTTATTTAAGTTTTTTAAATTTTTGTAAATATAAATAGAAAACTGAAAACGTAAATGTTACCAAACAACACCTTAAGATTTCATTGAAGACAAAGTCAAAAGAAAAGCAAAGTTAAGTTAAGTTACACTAATGGGCACAAGGGCCACACTCCTAAGCATCGTTTGGTACGAAACATACAGTGAGATGAAACCGAGCTGAAGAAGGTTGAATCGTACTCTCTGAGACTAAAGGATTGAAAGAGAGAGTGAGCGATCGGGTGAGTGAGAGATTTCAGGGATTGGTTTCTCTGAGACTGAAGGTTTCCCAGATTCAAAATGAGGGCTTGAAGAGAGAGAGAAGGGTTCTGATTCTCAGAGAGCTAAGAGAGAGATGGAGGAATAGCATTATTATAACACGTAAACGCGTTTAAAAAACGACTTCTATTTCTTAAACGGTACCGTTTTATTCAAAACAAAATGCGACGTTTATAAAACGTCGTTAAATGTTAGAAACAGTGACGTTTAAAAAAACACCGTTAAATAAACGCCGTTAAATGCTATATTTCCTGTAGTGTATGCTCATTAGAAGCTCTTCACTCAACCACCTACTCCAAGAACACTTCTGCCTCCAAAGCAACATTTGATTTACCTCGAATTTATCTTAATTATTTTTACTAAAAATTAATAAATATAAATATAAAATAAATTTTAAGAATTATTTTTTTGGTAATTGTTTATTATTATTATTATTATTATTTTGTAATTTTAATATCTATAATTTCTATATTTATAAATTTTAATATACCAATGACATAATTACAACATTAATTCACTGTCGATTGAATCAGTGACTAATCCGCCAAGTCATTTTTTCAATTCACTCACTGATCCGATTTTCAAAAGATAGTTACTAAAGACTACTGATGGTGCATGTGTCGTCCTAAGATTGAAAATTATTCACTCTTCTGAGTCATTCCTATGCATCAATCAATGATTATATTTTTTTAAATTTTTTTTTTCTAAACATTAATATTAAAATTACATAAATTAGTTATATTTAAATTAAACACTACAATGACAAGGCCCAAAACTACCCAATATTTTCTCCCTAAGATTGGATGTGTATAAAGAAAATTGTGCCAATGACAAGTCATCCACAATGATTTTTATAACTAATATAGCAGACAAATAAAATTTTTAAACAAATATACATAAACATCTACTTATCATTATTTTTTTATTGCTAAGAAAACAATTTATTAATGTAAACAATATATTACAAGATTGACTTCATCAATATAAAGGCTATGGCTAAAGTTGCAGGAAGATTAAAACAAGCCTAACAACTTTTCATTACCTGATGATCACTTACAACATTTTTATTTCATATTTTATAAAAAGAACACCTCACCCAAGTGGGAACTTAAAAGTGAAGTAGGATAAAATAATATGCCTATACAGACAGAAAAAACATCTCTCTAGAAAATGACCGTTGACGAAGCTCTGAGGCTGGTAGACCAATGGGATGAACATGGCTGCTCAATGGAGGAGAAGGACCATCTCATCCGAAGTAAAAAAAAAAAATCAAGAGTACCACTGTCCCAGAGGATACATCTATGAGTGAATCCTTGTTGGGAATTACAGAATCGGGGGCAAACAGCGTTGAAATAGAACCATCACAAGCTATAAACCCTAATGGGAGGGAGGAAGCTGCAGACAAAGATCAGATGGAAACCACAGAGGGCAACCATAATATTTCTTGCTCCTTTAAACAAGCCCTCCTCCGATCGCGTTTTAATGAAAGCCGAAATGAGAAGAACTTCGATTGCGATGTGGAAGAGATTTCATCGGATGAGGAGGATGACTCCACTGCAAAGACTTCTGTAGAAGACAACGAACCAATGGATGAGGAAAGAGATGGGGTTCCGAAAGTTAAAATCCCCAAAGCTCTCCTACAGAAAATCAGAGAACCGTGGAAAAATATTTAATCGTTAGATTGTTGGGGAAGAGCATAGGCTACAAATTGTTCATGGTAAAAATGACAAAAATTTGGGGATTGCAGGCTGATTTTGAAGCACTTGATATAGGTAATGGATTTTTCATTGTCAAGTTTGACATGGTAGATGATTACATGAAAGTTTTTACTGGTGGACCTTGGATTGTGATGGATCATTACGTGACGGTAAGAAAGTGGCAGCAAGACTTCAAGTCTGATGAACCAAAAGAGGATATCACTGCAATCTGGGTGCGGTTCCCAACTTTACCCATTGAGTATTACAATGAGAAGGCACTATATCACATTGCAAAAGTTCCGGGCATTCCTCTGAAAATAGACATCAATACAGCAATGGCAGCAAGAGGGAAATATGCACGAGTTTGTGTGGAGATGGATCTTCAAAAATCTCTGATCTCACACTTCTCGATAGGTAAGCACACATATCGCATTGAGTATGAGCATATACACTCACTATGTTTTTCTTGTGGCAGGATTGGACACCGGAAGGAAGCTTGCCAAGAGATCCCCAGACAGATACTGGAGAAGACACAAGGAACAAATGGAGAAGACAACCAGAAGCTGGAAACCAGCACTAGCACTCACACTGGGCCAGAGTCAAAGAATGCAACACAAAAGTTGGAGGCCAACCCAGGAACTTTTGGGCAGTGGATAACAGTGTCCAAAAGAAAAAAGAATCCAAAGAACTCATCTATACAAAAGGAGCAACCCAATCCACGTAACAATAGTTTTGAAGTCTTCAAATAAGGAGGAGCTCACTCTAAAGGCCACACAGCCCATGCAGAAAAGGACAAGACTCATAGAGGGAAAGCCCATCTAGATACGGGCTTCAAGTATAAGGCAAGAGCTAATAATGAGAAATAGGAAATGAGAGGAAGCATTGAAGATGAAAGAAAAAACAAAAAGGAGGAGATTAGACTAGGCAAAGTAGCAGTAGCTGACATGAAGATACGTGATCCTAAGACAGTCCTGGGAACAAGTGAGATTACGCTTACCCATACCAACCCCATAATCACACCACCCACCCAGATAACCACCAGCATTGATCAACCTCAACCATCCAAAACCCCCTTACTCACCACCATCAACACTTCTGAACCCAACCAAAAGAAAACCATCATTAACAAACCCCAACACAAAGAATCGCCAGACAAAAATGGAGGAGGAAGGGGAGAACTTCCCAACACTGAAACATACATTGATTCAGGACAGAGTGATGGTGGCCGTTACACCAGGAAAAGAAGTGTTTCACCTCATCGCCTCAGAATGATGGAACGAGGAAGTAAAATTGCGAATCCAGCCATGGAGGCAAGTGGAGGCAGGTCAGAATCGGCACTATGTGATGATATCTCCCATGAAATCGATGGCAGACAACCACAAAGCTGTGAGGGGCTATCTGGCTCTTGAAGATCAGTCCCCAATACCAAGGCATACCATACCTTCCATGGATATGCTGATCTGGAATTGTAGGGGGGCAGGAAATCAAAAGTTTAAGAGAACCATGAGAGAACTTGTTCAAATCCATAAACCAGAGTTAC